GTTGACAGAGCAGTCTTCAGTCCGAAAGGCATTTGAAGGAACCAAAAAGTTCCAAAAGGACAAAAAAATGCTGTTTTGTCTCTGTTTGTAAGACAAACGCTGACTTGATGGTACCCAGACCATAAATCGATGTTTGACATATATGGTGTATGTTTAGCAGCATGCAGTAAGTCATATCGTAACCCTATTCAATCCATGGTAATCAACGCAAAGTAGGACTTTTCTGAATGATTTGGGCACAAGAACCACTGGTGTAGCGCAGGGAGACTTACATTCTTCTATTATTTTCTTTTCCAGCAGATCATCAAGCTCCTTTTTTAAAATCTCCTTCTTGGCTGGAGACATCCGGGGGGTACTGAAACTGGAGAATTATTCCCGGTATTTATGTAGTGTTCAATATAAGGAGTTGCTTCTCCCCGTGGTTGGAACATAGTTTCAGATTTCGTCAGTAGAGCATTAAGTTTTTCCCTTTAGTTTTTCGTAAAATGTCTTACTCTCTGAATCTCAACATATTGAATTCTGCATTACTTTCTGGATGTTCGGATGGTTTCGAAACATCGTCACTAAAGCTAAATTTCTATTTAGGGTTCTCGTGGAAATACCATCTATTATTCAGAAGGTCTAAAACAATTCCAGTGCTATGCAGAAATTCAATTCCTAAAAGCATTATGTTATCTTTTGCTATAGGTAACACAAATAAAGTTATTGGGAAAGATCGTCCTTCAATTTCAATATCTATTTGGGTCATATACACTTCTATTTCCTTCTGGAGACCATCGGCGAGGGTAACATTCAATTCTAGTCCTCTTTCTCTCAAAAGATGATACAGTCGAAGGTCTTTAATCTGGATTCGTCGGGACTTTGGAGATTCCGGATTATAGATCATTTAAATCTGGTAAGATGGCATGCAGAAATTATAAAATTAAAAATATGAAACCGAATTTATGAAATAAAGAGAGGATCTAAGGGTATCAAAATTACAAAAAAAAAAAAAAGCTTAATTTTATTTCGTTACTTTATTAAACATTCTTTTCAACGCGCACTGCTAAGCCTACTTCGCTAGTTGAAATTGAAAATTGCAACTCGATGCATTGTATTCGTGAATTTATAAGCGAGGAATTTGATTAAATCATATCAAAATGAGTACATTGAATGAAATACTACATTAGTAGGAATATAAGCCAAATCAATAAAAACATCTGGCCTGAAGATAAGGTAGTACTAAAGATCAATTCCAGTTCATTGCGCCCGGAACGTCCCCCCCCTCGCGCAGAGCAGTGAAATGGATAAACAGATTTCGGAATGGTTAGAAACAAAGGAGCCTTTTATCCATTTTTTCAGCAATTCCACTTTTTATTTGATGGGCATCGAACAGGTTTCTTTTTGTAGATTTTTGGCAGCTCCCGCATCGGAAATTCTATTTGACATAATCAAAAGTTCCAACTTACTTTTATAAAATTGCTCTAACAGTCTGCAAAAAATAAGCCGGATCGAATTCGAAGATCAAGGAACAACGCAATCTGAAATAATGCGACTGAAATAGATAATTAGATAATTTTAGCTTAGCTTTTACAGTTGGCTATACATTAAACGTAAACATGCGCATGCGTAAAGGCATATACGCATACATAGACGCATTATGCGTTTACGCATGCACAGAAAGTTTATAGCTTTTAGGTCCGGATTATGGAGGTCCAGATTAACGACTTTTGACTGTATAATGTTTCTCCCACTACAGTATGGCTGGCTCCAGTAACAGCACACATGATTCCAGTTAACATTGTTTATTTTTGCTCTCAAAAGAGTCGTCTGGTGTTCCTCAACAGAGAATGTCTGAAAGTGTATAGGTTTAACATTGGCTTCTGCTTCTTAGAAGAAGGGGAGCAGACCATTTAGCCTTAATAAAGGCTGACTTCCCACACCCATAGCAACTAATGGGTTGTCGATCTTCATTTTTTACATTATCTCTTGATGAGACATTTTTAGTAGGCTGAGAGTTACCTCTAAAATTTTGGGACCGTCTCATTGTTGAAACTCAGTTATTTCCCTACTAAAATTTTTATTTCGTACATATCTAATTTCTCAGCGAGCTAAAGTGGATTGTTTCACTTCAAGTTATCCAAAAAGTTTTCTTTATAATCTGGAGGGCCTTTTTTCTTATTTTAATCTGCCAATATAAAATTCTTTAACTGCTCAAACATCGTGACTTTTGATTCCTTAAGCCTATCATCAAAATAGTTTTGTAAATCAAAGTAAAAGTCTCTCCAGGTGTTTTCAGGATTTTTCTTATGTTGGGTAAGCAGTTGTCGAAAATTCTGAGCACTCAATTTGAAGCGCTTTAAGAGAATTTGTTTAATTTTCTGATAGTTTTGAGCATCATCAGAACATTCTTTAGCAATCAGTTTCGAAACATCAGTTAGCAGAAGACCAACAAGGTAAACTACACATTTTGAAATTGGTACCTTCAGAAGGGGTAATTGCCTCTCAAACAAATCCAGAAATAACTCATATCAGCTGTTTTAGGATCAAAATTAGGAATTAACTTGTTCAATTCTAAATTAGGCATTGCTGTGTCTGCAAAAGAAGATACCTTTTCAGACTCCAATCTACTAGCAGTAATAGTAGATTGTAATTTTAATTTCTCCAATTCAAAGAAACATTCATTTTCTTTCTCTCTCTCAGCATGCTGTTCTATTTCTCTCCTATCATTTATGATGCGGTTCAAACATTCTTTTGTAAACTCTGCATTCTGCATAATATGTGAGACTAGTGATTATAGCCTTACTTATCTTACGAATTTTAAAATTTTCCTCACTATGCATAGTGTCTCCGCTAATTAAACTAAATCTTGTTTCTTTTTTTTGCTAAATAAGCCATGCTTAACTGAAAGTGGATAAATTTTCTCAAAAAGTACATCTCTAACTTTTAGTATGCTAACATATAACATATACAGTCAAAAGTCTTTAACTCGGACACCTATAATACGGAATGATCTATAATCCGGACCTCAAAGCTAAAAACTTTCTGCGCATGTGTCGCGTTTACGCGTGTGTGTAAGACCTTTACGGTTGCGAATTTGCGCGTGCGCATGAGCATAATATGTTTACGCATGCACGTTTAATGTATAACAGATGGTATAAGCTAAGCTAGAATTATCTAATTCATTTAATGTTGCAGATTGCATTGTTCCTTAATATTCGAATTGGATCCGGCTTATTATTTTTTGCAGACTGTTAGAGCAATTTTATAAAAGCATACTTGAACTTTCGATTATGTCAAATAGAATTTCCGATATATATTTACTAATATGTAAAGGATCTACAAAGCGAAAGTATGTTTCGAAGTCCATTAAACAAAAAGTGGAATTGCTGCAAAAAATGGATAAAGGCATATCCTCTGTTTCTTAACCATTCCGAAATCTGTTTATCAATTTTACGCTGCTCTGCGGGTGGGGTGGGGGGGACATCGCGGCATGCAATGAACTGGAAGTTGATCTGTCCAGCACTATCCTTATCTTCAGGGCAGATGTTTTTATTTTATTTGGCTTATAATTCCTTACTAAATGCAGCATTTCATTTCGATGTATTCCGTCTTTGATATGATTTAAATAAAATTCCTCATCATTATAAATATCACGAGTACACATCAAATAGTTTTCTGGTTTCAGTTTTCTAATTTCGACTATGCGTAATGTATGCTTTACACATGTGCACGTTAAAAGAAATGTTTAATAAAGTAAACAAATAAATATTAAGCTTTTTTTTTTTTTTTTTGTAAATTTTGATCATAATTGTTCTTTATTTTCATAAATTACGGTTTCATATTTTTAATTTTGTAATTTCTGCATGCCATCTTACCAGATTTAAACTGATGATCTATAATCCGGAAAAAGCGATAATCCGGAATCGCCGAAGTCCCAAAGAGTCCGGATTAACGACTTATAATTGACTGTATAAGTTTAAAAATATTTTTATATGCATTTAATACACATCAAATATATATATTCAAAAGCAAAACATGAAATAAAGTAGTAATTCATCTTACATCACTTTCTATTGATTGCTTGAAATAACGTATAAAATACACAATTCTCAGAACATAAACTGATATAGGATACTTTCAGTAATTTAGATTAATGCAAAATATAGCAACTTGCAACTATATATTTCAATACGTTTTAGGCAATGTTACAGATTTTGTATTTAGTTGGCTTTTTTTTTAATAGAATTGTAATTAAAATTGTTTTATTTCCCCGTGCAATGCAGCGCATGACGAATTTTAAGAGAAAACTACACTGGAAAAGTAAAAATACAAGAGCACATGCATTTAACATTTAATAAGTTTATCTTCATAATTAATATTTAATTTGAATAAATGTTATTGACTACAATGTTAACTGTAACATAATTCTACGCTTTTTGCTGTCCATAAATTGCTAGAACTCTCTGATGTGGCCAATTTAAAAAGCTATAAAAGCCAGAGAACACCTCAACTCAATTGTTATAGATAGTTGTTGTTGTTTACTTAGCTGCTGTAATTGTGAGATCGGATTAGCTTTCTCTGTGCTTTGGATTGTGTTCTATTTAATGTTTTAGTAGTTTAAAATATAACTACTGTGTGATATTCTATTAATACCTGTGAGGAAATATACAGCGTTTTGTCATATTTCCTGTGATAAGTTAATAAATTTTATTAATTTTTTATCGGACTTATGCATTCAATCTATTACGAACCCGTACGCATGCAACAATATGTTCATACATGGAAGGGTTTGGTTACATTTAACAATACAGTACCTCTGATGTTTATCAAAGAGCATTTAATTATTTCCCTTCTGCAACAAATATCTATTCGTGAAATAAAACTTCTCTTTAAGTAATGTTCTTGCATTATTACAAAGCCCATTTAAATGGAGGGTTAACATATAAGAAATAATTACTGCATGAAAGATTATATGCAAATAATAGCTAAACAGTAATTTTAATGATTTCAGTAAGTACCTGGACCAACTGTCAGCTGTGAAGAATGTTTCAACAAAACCTTTATTTTATCTGCAAAACCATTTTCCTTAATTACAGCTTCAGCACATTTTCCAACAGGGCCAAAAACCTATAAATAGTACATATCATATGGTATGTAATATGTTGCAGTAGAAATAATACTTTTGATGTAAAACGATTAAATCCAATCATTTTTAGCTGGTTTCTTGAAGAAAAAGAACTGTAATCTATGCACAACAAAATTTTATATACTTTCTTACATATAATAATTTTTAAAAAATAATTTTTAAAACCACAACAAATAGAAAAACAATGTGCAAAAACATGAACGCATGCATATAAAATATGCTTCAATAAAAACCAATGACATATATTTATCGTTAATAACATACTGAAAGGGTGCTAGTATTCAGAACCAGACTGGTAAGATCCACTATCTAATAATCGGTTACTTTTAACAGGCTAATAATACAACTTCTAGAACAAGATACCAGCAAGAAAATATTTGACATAGGGAATTCATTTTAGTGATTTTGAAAACTGTGTAGGATATTACTGTTATTTTTCACTAATCAGTTATTTATGCTTTGGATCTTTACTTTTCATTTCCCACTTTCGTTTCCCTACCAGAATGTAAATTAGGCAGCAAGAGATAGTACTTATGTTTTGGCAGTTTGATTCATAGCATGTTCTGCATCTCGAGGCCATGTTATTAGGTTGCTGCTAACTTACACTGGTGTGCAAAAATTAAGGACGAAGTCGAAAAATTCGCATATTAGCTGAACGAAGAGGCAGAGCGGACAGAAAGACCAATCAGGAGAATAAGTAAGGTGATGTGCGGTAGCACATGCGCAGATATGCAGGTAGACGTAATGGGGGAGTGTCTGAGTAGTATAAAGCATGTTGTCGGTGTAAGATCAGTATTTCTGGCAAAGAGATTGCACGCCGTATAGCAATTAAAATCACACCGAGTTGCTGCCTCAGCAAGAAATGGCGAATAATCAATATGTTAGACGACATCTGGATGCTTTTACCCAAGGTCGAATCGTTGGGAAGTTGGAGGAAGGCTGCAGTGTGACAAGTGTGGCTGCAGAGTTCGGAATTGCTCACAGCATCTTTTCACGACTTTGGAACAATTTCAAACTACAGGAACAGCTATCCTGGGGTTTAGTAGTGGTCGTCCACGAGGAACCACACTCGCAGATGACCGGTATATTGCCTTAGAGGCCAGAAGAAACAGACGGCAGACAGCGGGAGAAATCGCTAGACGCACGACACAGGCGACTGGACAACCGATATCGCGTTTTATCCTGGCCAGAAGACTGCACGGTGGTGGTCTGTTTGCATGATGCCTTGTACAGTGTGTACCTCTAATGCCTGCCCATCGGAGAAGGCATTCTCTGTGGTGCCGGGAACACCGGAATAGAAGAGACAATGTATGGGGACGAGTACTCTTTACAGATGAGAGCAGATTCAGTCTGAGTAGCGATTCTCATCGTATACTCATCTGGAGAGAGCGGGGAAGCCGCAATCATCCCTCGAATATCATTGAAAGGGACAGGTGTGGAGGTGGCGGTGTTCTCGTTTGGGGAGGCATCATGCTTGGTAGTTGTACAGACCTTCACATCTTCGACGCAGGTTCAGTCAACGGGACCCGTTATTGTAACGAGATTCTTCTTCCATATGTGCATCTTTTTAGAGGCTCTATGGGTCCACAGTTCCTTTTCATGGACGACAATGCACCATGTCATCACACAGTAGCTGCCAAACAGCTCTTAGAGAGTGAGGATATTGAACGTATGGATTGGCCGGCACGATCTCCGGATCTCAATCCCATCGAGCATGTATGGGATTTTCTAGGCAGACGCTTGGCAGCTCGTACCTTACACCCAGTAACGATTCCGGAGCTTCGATTGGCGCTGCAAGACGAATGGGCAGCAATGCCTCAACAACTCATTGACACCCTCATTCTCAGTATGGGCAGACGCTGTGAAACCTGCCTAGCAGTCAGGGAGATCATTCCCCTATTAAAGACCAGATGTTTCTTGCTGGACACCCATCAGGGATGTTTCGGCCTTCAGTCGCATTGCGCTCCATGCTACTTTTTCAATAAAGCTTCTTTATCCCTCTGATTTCTCTTTTAGTAAGTGTTGCTTACATTACTCATGTTCTTACGTATTGGGGATCTTACGGTATTAAATGTGTTGATTTGGAAAGCTTTTGTACAAAGTTATATTGAAAAAACCGTCTCGTCCTTAATTTTTGCACACCAGTGTACATAAGATTGTAGTCTTTGGCCTTACATTATATGATTGCTGATATCTGAATATCTATGACAGTTAAGTTTGTGAGTCAACTTTGTGCTACATTTAATTGTGTAGTCTTCAACTACTAGCTTATTTTAAATTTGAACTTGCAGTCGCTTTAAATTACATTGCCACAAGACAGTTTCTAAATGGTTCAATTAATCATGTCCTTAGATCTATCAAGATGAATTCTTGCTTGCTTTTCGAGCATTTGAAATAAATATTGCTGCAAAATACCTCAGTGTGCATTGTAGAATGTGCATCACAGAATGATTTTAATGCAGAACGATCGAGGGTGAAACATCCCCCCAAAAATCAGTTATTTTAGGACCATCCATTAAAGAGGTACTTATATCTGTCTACAATGAAAGTTAGCTACCATCAAACTATGAAAGCTAGTGGAGATCAAACCAAAGCTGTGCCAATCATTCCTGTTGAATGCGAAAAGAACTGATATAACTTTACTTAACAGGCATTCAACCCACTTTGTTTTTGTGCTTCGTGAAAAAGCTTTTGCAGATTTCTACTCTTTTGTTATGCAATCCAATTTTATCGAAAGCTCTGTTTAGAAGGCTATGAGTATAAATCCACAAATATAAATCCACAAATAATTGTTCCAATCTATTACTGTTTCGTTGGTCATATTCAGCTGATCATACTGTGCCTATTAAAACACACCTTTTTTTTATTATAAGATTCCATAACTTTGAAATTAATCCACTGCTATTGTTCTGTTGAAGACAGGTTTCACATAATATTTTGTTCAAACCAGGGGAAAAAAAAATACAGCATTAACAGTTAATTTATATCTTTGCTCATAAAAACAAAAGGTGGCTTATAAATCGCACTGCTTGGCGACAGTTTCATGCCAACAAGATAATACATAAGTATCAGAACTTATTCCAACTAAAGTAAGATTTGTATGCTTTATTAAAAGTTTTTTTTTCATTCATTTTTATGTAAAATTTATTTATGAGCAGTTGAAGGCTTGTTGTAAAACATTGTTTTGGGGCCCACGTTTCAAGTCAAAATCATTTATACCAAGATATAATAAATGTTTAGGTATTATTTTCATTTACATTCAGGTATTATTTATTTTAAAATTCATTAACCCCGTAATGCACTCAACCAAGTTAACTTGGGTACACTGAACGAAATTATTTCTAGATATCCAAGCAATTACATAGAAGATTTTTTTTTTTTTTCAGATATTAAATACAACAGAACATATCTGCTACAGCTTTGAGTTCCAATAAAGAAAGAGGTTAAAAGAAATTGAGTTAAAATAAAGAACAAAAACTGGAAGGAAAAAAGACCACTTTCTGAATTTTTATTGGTGCAATAAGAAGTTAAAACGCTTTCATCTTGATCACTTTAAATTTCATACTATAAAAAGTCTGTGAGAATAATGTTAATTTTCACTGAGATTTCACTATTTTTCAAGCAGTTGAATCAATCTTTAATTTATACAGCACTTCAACACCAAAATACTGCCAAATCTTTTAATGGTTTTTGACTGCTTTTCATTAATTATTTTCACAACATCTAATGTAGAAATATGCCTCAATTTTCTGTAAAAAAACAAAGTGCTTTCATAGGGAACATACTGCTTGGAATGGAAAAGCCAGGAATATACCCTATAAATTAGCACATGACCATACAGTGAAAACATTATGTCAAACTAAATCCCATGACTGAATTCATACAGGTTTGTGAAGAATTACAGTATTTGATGGCATATAAGACGCACTGACATATAAGACGCACCCTTATTTAGAAAAGGCCACACACATGTAGATGTAGAAAAAGTTGTGTGTGTCTAGACCTTTATCCGGGCTAAAAATAGCATTCAGTATTTAAAGTTAACCTGTGTCCTTCACGTATATTCTACACAATCAATCACAAGTTGCTAATTGAAGTTTTTTTGAGAGGAGGGGAGAAATGAATATTATTATTTAATTACAAAATTGCAACAGCTGAAAATTATACAATGAACTGACAAAAACTGTTAGTTTTGATAAAAGAAAATTTTACTTCACATGCTGTAATGCTATCAGCACCACACCAAGCAGCCATCATCGATAACAGTCCAGTCCCCGTTCCTATGTCTAAGACTTTCGCAGCTTTACCTTGTTCTTTCATAGTATGTATGGCTTTCTTGATTGCAGAAAAATATTTTTCATTCTGAGGATAAAAAAAGAAAAATTGTATTATCATTATGTAATGCAAATAATAAAACTGCTTTTGAATTTGACTGAATGGAAAATATATTTTTATACCTACAAGTATGATATTTTTAAACAAGTCCTTTAAAAAGAATGCTGAACAAAAACAAAAAAATTAAGATAAAATCCCCAAAAAGGGTAAGGGAACTTCTACAAAATTTTAAAACAGGAATTAAATATTATAATGCAAAACACCCTTGCTGTAAAAGAACAATATTGGAGCAGAAAAAGTCTGTCAAAAAAATAAAAGTTAATTACCATATTACTTTAGATTCAAGGCAGAATTTTTATTCAAATTTTTAAGGCATAAAATTAAGATGTAACTTAAAGCATCATATTTCTCAATAAATTAGGTAGCTTATTATATTTGTATTAGAACCCACATACAAAAATATTAATGTTTCTTATTTTTCAATATCATAGCTGCCAACCTTAAAATATGAAAAACTGGGGAGTTCACCCGCCAAAAACTGAGTTTCAGAAGGTTGTCATGCTGCACGGTGGCATCCTTCCAAAAAAAAAAAAAAAAAAACATCAAAACCAATTTAAGTTTGTTTTAACAAAATTGATGATATGATTATGGCAATTCAGATTGAAAAAACTGAATAAGAAAAAATATGTAGAATATCACTAAGGATGGAGGAATGAAATTTGCACAATTGTAAGTTTCATTAATTTAATAATGAAACTTAAACTATGCAAATTTAATTTCCACAGTTAAATTTATTGCTGAAAAACACTTTCACTAGTGTAGGATACAAATTAAAAAACTAGCAGATTTAGTGATCTGCCAGAAGATGTGTCGAAAAACTGGGAATGTTGGCAACTATGCAATATCTATTTAATATCATTATTTATTTCTATTATTCTTCAAATTTTAACCCTTCAGTGATTAAGCAATTTTTTCTTCCCAGATATGCACGATGTCAGTCAGTCATAAATTTGTAATGCGAGCTGTGTTCATTTGCACCCAATGTGGTGCATAACTGGAATGTGAGCTGAGCTCATTAATAACCATCAAAAGGTTAAAAACGCTAGTGGACTTGGTCACAAGCGCGGCTTTTTATTGTTTTCTCCCATTTGAAAATCCTACTGCAGCTTAAATTCAAAGCAATGTAGTACTTAAACTGATAAGTTATTAAAAAAGCACCACTAATAGTTAGGGGAAAATAACTTTTCATACGTAAAATAACAAAAAAGATGAAAATTCAGCTGCTTCAAAACTGTTATAAAAATTTTAACTCTGCTAGCATCATGACATGATTTCTACATTTGAATTATATTTCATGCCATACATGATTTGCATAAAGCTTTTAATTTTTTACAGTTAAGAAATATTGTGAACTCTCTCCTAATCACTCCATCTCATAGGCAACCAAACCTGGCAATGAACATTACTTCTTAGAACATAAATAATTAAATAAAACATTGGTATTGATAACAATAACATTCTCTAGCAACTCTTAAACCTGAGAGCACCAAATATGTATCAAAGCAACCACTAAAATGGCATATATCATTATCAAACTAAAGTATTTCATGTACAATATAAATCAAACAGTTACATTCCTTGTTACAGCAGCAAAATTATTTTTTTAGAACATAGTTAATCATTAATTCAGTGTGGTTTGTGTGCTTGTTTAATCCCTTAGCGCATTTGCCCATTTCTGACACGTGCAAAAATTACTGGCAAATTTGCCATTGGCGATTTTGTATTTCCCGTTTTTTTATTTCTAATGCCTGTCTGAGATCAATTCTATTAAAAATAGATAGGTTAGATTATAATTAAACTTATTTACCATAGATGGCATCAATATGCAGCATTTGTCTTGTGTAAACCATGTGGTGTGTTTTTGCAACTTGTTACTGTTTTTTGTAACTTGTTTAGAAAAGTTATCTGATAATGAGTGACACTGATTGTTTTGAATATGCCAATTTATCAGAAAGTTTCAGCAATGAAAGTGATGATCTATTGGGTGAATCTGAAGATAATGATAGACATATTTTGGCTGCAGCAAGAAACTGGTATCAAATTAGTACAAATGAACCAAATGTTGCACCACCGAGATTTCCATCTGCAGTAAACCCTGGTTATCCTTTTACTTTGTCAGACTGCTATGATGATTGAATTATTTTTTTGATAACTCTCTCATGGACATAATTCTAACTAAAACAAATAGACATGCATTTCAACATCAAGGATCATCATCGAACCAATGGTCACCGATTATCATGAAAGAATTATATACATTTTTAGCCATAACTATACTGCAAGCTATAATTAGAAAAACCTGAGGTAAGGATGCATTGGTCAAAAGTTGAAATTTTTCAATTAGCAAATTTCCTAGTAAAATGTCAAACGGATACCTATGGGACTCTGAAAAATACCAGACTAGAAGTTCCATCTGAAATTAGAGATAAAAAACTTCAAAAGGGAGATGTTATAGCTTTTCAAAGAGGCAAAGTTATGGTAATGAAGAGCAAAGACAAAAAAAGGCATCTGTCTGCTTTGAACAATCCATAATACACAGCAGGAAAATATAAGTAAAACAGCCACAGATAGTATGCAAATAAAGAAGCTGAAAATTGTAACTGATTAGAAAGATACAATGGGAGGCATTGATCAGCTTGATCAGCAGCTCCAAGATTACCCAAGAAGAAAATGAGGAAAAAAATACTGTAAGAAAATATTTTTTCATCTTGTAGATATATCCATATGGAATTCACTTGTACTATAAAAAAAAAAAAAAAAAAAAAAAAAAAAAAAAAAAAAAAAAAAAAAAGGAGGAAAACGGAACTATTTGGAATTCTGTAAAATGCTCATGGAAAAATTAATTGAAAAATACCATTCAAAAGAGTTACACAAACAGATTGGCCTGGTTCTCAACCTAGGCCTTTGAGACTAATCAAAAGACACTTTTCTGAATTTGTACCATTGACAGAAAAGAAAATGACCCCTTGTAGAAATTGCACTGTTTGTTGCAGTAAAAGAGATGAGAGAGGTAAAAAGATAAGGAAAGAAACAAGATACTATTGTATGAACTGTTGGACTTTGTCCCGTACCATCTTTCATGGTATATTATACCAAATTGATATGTAAGCCATTCTGATGCTTGTAAGTATGACAATTTGATTTTAATATTTTGAAATTCAAAATAAGCATGTAATCAAATCATTTACACTTTGTTTGTATAATAATTTTTAATTGGTATAATAATTTTAAACTATATTTTTTTAACTTTTATATCCCCCTTATTGCTTGCATACATGTACTTTTTCTCCCTTTCCCTTATATCATAAATCGTAAGTAACTTGAAATATAATTTTTGTAATGGATTAAAATGTTTAAAAATCAAAAATTAAGTCGTGAGATAAAAAAAAAATAACAGTTACAGATGATATTAGTGATAATCTACCTTAAACACTGCTTTTTATAAAAATATTCAGTATCCCCCTCAAGTGTCACAAATGCACTGCTGATTAATTTTTTGCAAAGCTGAAAGCCAACAGCCACTTTGAAAATTACAATGCACTAAAAATTCCATCAAAGAGCGATGAATCAATAAAATTAAAAAAGCAAGAAACATACATAATAAAACACTTAGTTTTTTAAAAGACTTTATGTAATCCTTTTGTGCTGTTGTTCCCCCATGTACAAGCAATCTGTTTTCGTTTAAAAAAACTCAGAAAATTGCAGAAATCTGACAAAGTACAACTTCATTCTCACCACGCACGTAGCAATCTACTGCTTTAAACAAACTTCAGAAAATTGCACTGATGTTCAGCGTCAGCACACAAATTTTGATCCATACAATTCAATCCTTTAAGAATATGAATTTTTGCATTCTTTAATGTCAGGCAAAACGATGTATTTCTGAAGAAATGCCATGCTTTCTTTTCTATTAACAAATTCCAAAATCCCATTATAATTCCTTTCAAGTGGGAAAAAATGCACTCTACAACAAAAATAAGCACAAACAGGCATCAAATTTGAAGCTAATGAATTGGGACTCATCTGCTGCGTGCACGTGCATACCTGGATTGCCACATAAATACATTTTGGAGATATCATGGGTTCACTATTTTGGTGACATAATGCATTATCGAGTGGGTACTTTTCAAAGAAAGGAAGATAATGAGAAAGTGCCAAATATTCATCCAATGGCATACTTCAGTGATTGACAATGGCATACTTCAGTGACTACTTATTGACAGTGCCAATAAGTAATGAATATTTTTTAAATTCCTAACAAAATTTGTAAGGCAGAATTTTATTTATTTTTGTTTTATATGAAAGATGTTTTTTCTATATTTTAAAATATTCAGAGTACTTTCGAAAATTAAATATCAAGTGATTAAATCATGTTTTTTTTATGTATTTTTACTAAAATATTTGCTACTTACCATTGTAATAATATATTGGTATCAGTAAACTGATATTCTACATTTCTCTCAGAATTTTTCTCTGAGAGACTCCCAAAGCCATAATAAATCTATTACGTAAATAATAATTGCCATCACTGATTGTCAATTTCTCTAAAATGAGCATCTCTATACAAGGCACAAATTGCACAGAACCAAGGGTGGTTGCCTTAAGAGTGGGCTTAATGTTGCACATAAAAAGTTACCCATTTTTAAAGTTAACGCAGCATTTAATAGAAAATAATTATATATAGTCTCCCATAAAAAGTCATATTTGGCTGGAAAGGGTGGTAGGCATGTACAAGATAATTTATATAGCTAAATCTCTAAGAAATGAGTATCCCTTGAGAAACTGTTTTCATATACAGCATGTTATAGTAACAAATGAGAATTTAATTCTTATAATGTAATATTAGTAATAATAAAACAAAGTAACTGTCTTCAGATTAAAGTTTTTTTAGTTTATTATGTTACTTAGTGTATACAATAAAATCAGCCTGTACTAGAGTATATAATGGGATATATTTTAGCACTTAAGTTGCATTTCACAAGTAAGATTTATATACTTATAAGAATTTAATCAGAAATAGCATGATAAATTCAGAATGAAAAAAAACACAGTAATTCCAGTTACATACAGATATCATAAGAGGTTTTCTAAAATAAATATCAAATTTAGATACTTGCATATTGTTCCGTCAACCATGAGAGTTCGTTACCATCAAACCATGAAAGCTGGCAGAGATCCCACTAAAGTTGCCGATGTGTTCTTCCGAATTCTGAAGAAACCAATGTCTCTTTATTTAATAAACAATCAGTGTCTGACCTGCTTCATTTATGCATCTTGAGAAGGGGCTTTTGCCAATTTCTACTATTTTGTTAAGCCCTCTGATTTTACCAGAAACCCTCTTTAGAACACTATGAGCAAAACTTGCCACAGGTAATTATTCCAATCTATTACCTTTTTGTCAGCATATTCAGCTTACCATATAGTACCCATTAATACACAACTTTTTTTTATGGTAGGATCTCATAATCTTGAAAATAATCTACTGTTAGTTCTTTTGTAGAAGGGAGGTCATAAATTCTAATAATTGTTTTTTCAAAATGCAAGGGAAAAAATATAGCAATAGCAGCTAATTTATATCCATAAAAACAAAATGCATCTTATCCAGAATTGGTTGAGATGCATCAGATGAAAGCACAGATGTTAAGAATGTGTTGCTGGGCTCATGTATAATTGGTGCTAAATCATGCTACTTAATGGTTGACAGTTCATGGGACAATACTTAAGTACCTAACTTTGTTTGATGAAACAGAAAATACAGTATAAAAAAAAAAGGAAATCCAAAACAAACATTTCATTGTAGAAGATACTAAATAAAGTTAAATCAAGATTGTTACCAAAAAAGTACTGACAACAACAAAAGACTAAATGTCAAGGCCCTTTTGCAATTTACTTCACAGCTGATACTGTGTAATTTAAAAAACTGTAATAAAAAATCTTTAAAATGCTAGAAAACTTGCCTTATTATAAATAGCAAAAGTTCTTTTATTCATATTTTAACTCTTTGGCAATATTAAACAACACCATAATTTAAAATATTTTTTAAAACTATGATATATTAAAAAAATTCTTACTCTCTCAGTATCATGTAGCATATCAGCATAGGATGACCTATAATAGAAAACAATGAATTCATACTTTTCCTAATTTACAATACATGGGAGCAAGATCTAACAAATTTTTTAAAAAAATACTGCATTTCTTAAAAATGCCCAGGTTTACTGGTTTCAAATTTCCTAATATTTAATTTCAAAATTCTATAACATACCCGGGCAATTTTATGAAAACTTCATATTTGTTATGAAAGCTGCTCTAGTTTTAAACCCATGTTTTTATAAATATTGCTCCACTCCACAATGATTATAAATCTTGCGTCAATTAGGCAACATGTCAACAAATCCGTATTTTTAGTGTGTACCAATGGCAGATATTTGGTTCCCATTTGGATTACTCTTCTTTGTAAACAAAATTCTTTCTCTAATGTGTGTTTACTAGATTTGGTGACTCATTAAAATTTTGATAATTTGAACCCTTCAGCTAGCCGAGGCCATATATATATATATATATATATATATATAATTTATTTACTAAAGAAATATTGATTATATTATCTCCTAAGATTAATTTTAGTAGAATTATCTAAAAAGAGTAAATCCATAGTTAGTAAATTTAATTCCAAAAACTGTTTTAAAGGAACTTGAATGTAAATTGTTAAAAATGTTTAACGGGGACTTGAATTGAATCATGAATAACAAAATTTCAATTGTAAAAAGAAATTAAATTAAAAGCAAGTAATCATTGCCATTGATCGGAAATTAGTTGACTTTTCAAGGGGAACAAACCAACTCCTGTTCAATGAACAATAATTAAAAAATAAATATGAAGGTGTTTTTGTCCTTTACTCAAGTAATAAGGCGATGCCAAACTGGCAATTTAAGTTAGGCCAAATATTTTTTTGAATTGAAGGGATCAAGAACCAATGCAGAGCCCTAAAGAAATTATTCTGATTAAGCATTTTCGCTAATTCAATTTTGAGTGAAAAGCAATTTATGCAGTAAAATTGATAAATTACTTGAGTGATTGTCCCCCGACACCTCGTGCTTATGCATTTTAATTCAAAACTATTTGTAAAAAATTAAACATTGGAAATTGGCATTATGAAATAGAACTCAAAGTAATTGAAATAAACATTAGAAAATTACGAAATATAATGCAATCTTTGCAAAAATAAATCAAAAAATAAAAATAAAAATTGAAATTAAAAATATACATAATAAGAAATATTTATTTAAAAAATATATATAATAAGAATTTTAAATTTCAATTTTTTACAGAAATTTAAAATAATTATAAATAAATAATTAAATTAAATAAAATTGAAATTTAAAATACATATAATAAGAATTATTTACTTTAAAATACAGTCAAAAGTCGTTAATCCGGACTCGTCGGGACTTCGGCGATTCCGGATTATAGATCATCAGTTTAAATCTGGTAAGATGGCATGCAGAAATTACAAAATTAAAAATATGAAACCATAATTTATGAAATAAAGAACAATTATGATCTAAAGGGTATCAAATTTACAAAAGAAAAAAGCTTAATATTTATTTGTTTACTTTATTAAACATTTATTTCAATGTAAGTTGCTTCGTTTTCATGTGATAACACTTTCTCTTTAATTCTATTAAACAGACATAATTTCTCGTTTAGTTACAAAGTTCCGCTGTTCAAGTCCTATAATTGCTGTGTTGAGAATATCGACTAATTTGTCAATGGAAATGTTTTCGTTTTCAATAACCTCTGGGTCACTTTCTTCACTATCGAAAGCGAATTATAATGACGAGGAACTTGATTTAAATCATATCAAAGACCGAGTACATAGACATGAAATACTATACTTAGTAAGGAATTATAAGCCAAATAAAATAAAAACATCTGCCCTGAAGATAAGGATAGTGCTGACAGATCAACTTCCAATCTGCCGCGTGAAATTGATAAACAGATTTCGAATTTCAGAACATACTTTCGCTTTGTAGATATAAATTACATATTAGTAAATATATATTGGAAATTCTATTTGACATAATCGAAAGTTCAAGCTTACTTTTATGAAATTGTTCTAAAAGTCTGCAAAAAATAATAAGCAGGATCCAATTCAAAGATTAAGGAGCAACACAATGTGCAACATTAACTGAATCAGATAATTTTAGCTTAGCTTATACCTCCGTTACGCATTAAACGCGCATGTGCACAAACATATTCGCAGCCGTAACGGTCTTACGCGCACTCTTAAACGCCTGTGCGCATGCATGAACGCAACGCATGCGCAGAAAGTTTGTAGCTTTGAGGTCCGGATTATGGGTGTCCGAATTAACGACTTTTGACTGTATATATAATAAGAATTTTAAATTTCAATTTTTATTTTTATTTTTTGATTTATTTTTGCAAAGATTGTATTATATTTCTTATATTTTGTAATTTTCTAATGTTTATTTCAATTACTTTGAGTTCTATTTCATTTTTTTAAAATATATATAATAAGAAATTATTTTATTTTTAAAATATATATATAATAAGAATTATTTATTTTTACATATATATAATAGAATTATTTTTTTAAAATCTATAATCTAAGAATTTTAATTTCAATTTTATTTTTTTTTTTGATTTATTTTGCAAGATTTCATTATATTCTTATATTTCGTAATTTTCTAATGTTTATTTCAATTACTTCTATTTCATAATGCCAATTTCCAATGTTTAATTTTTTACAAATAGTTTTGAATTAAAATGCATAAACACGAGGTGTCGGGGGACAATCACTCAAGTAATTTATCAATTTTACTGCATAAATTGCTTTTCACTCAAAATTGAATTAGCGAAAATGCTTAATCAGAATAATTTCTTTAGTCCTCTTCATTGGTTCTTGATCCCTTCAATTCAAAAAAATATTTGGCCTAACTTAAATTGCCAGTTTGGCATCGACTTATTACTTGAGTAAAGGACGAAACACCTTTGTATGTATTTCTTAATTATTGTTTATTGAACAGGAGTTGGTTTGTTCCCTTTGAAAAGTCAACTAATTTCCGATCAATGGCAATGATTACTTGCTTTTAATTTAATTTCTTTTTACAATTGAAATTTTGTTATTCATGATTTAATTCAAGTCCCCGTTAAACATTTTTAACAATTTACATTCAAGTTACTTTAAAACAGTTTTCGGAATTAAACTTACTAACTATGGATTCACTCTTTGTAGATAATTCTACTAAAATTAATCTTAGAAGATAATATAAGCAATATTTCTTTAGTAAATAAATTATTATTAACTTACTTTGCAGCTATTGTGCAAGTAGTAGAATAACACGATTTCGCACTAAATGAATTTAAGATCATATAACATTATATATACAGTCAAAAGTCATTAATCCGGACTCGTCGGGACTTCGGCGATTCCGGATTATCGATTTTTCCGGATTATAGATAATCAGTTTAAATCTGGTAAGATGGCATGCAGAAATTATAAAATTAAAAATATGAAACCGTAATTTATAAAATAAAGAACAATTATGATCTAAAGGGTATGAAAATTTACAAAAAAAAAAAGCTTAATATTTATTTGTTTACTTTATTAAACATTTCTTTCAATGTAAGTTGTTTAAGTTGCTTCGTTTTATGTGATAATACTTTCTCTTTAATTCTATAAACAGACATAATTTCTTTCTCAGTTACAAAGTTCCGCTTTTCAAGTCCTATAATTGCTGTGACGAGAATACAGACTAATATGTCAATCGAAATTTTTTCGTTTTCAATAACCTCTGTGTCACATTCTTCACTATTGAAAGCAAATTATAATGACGAGGAATTTGATTTAAATCATATCAAAGACGGAATACATCGAGATGAAATACTACATTTAGTAAGGAATTATAAGCCAAATAAAATGAAAACATCTGTCCTGAAGATAAGGATAGTGCTGACAGATCAACTTCCAATTCATTGCATACCGCGGCGTTTCCCCTTCCCCCCGCCGCAGAGCAGCGTGAAATTGATAAACAGATTTTGGAATGGTTAGGTCATATTTTGCAGCACTTCCTGTTTTGTTAATTGGACTTCAAAACATACCTTCGCTTTGTAGATCCTTTACATATTAGTAAATATATATCGGAAATTCTATTTGACATAATCAAAAGTTCAAGCTCTTTTATAAAATTGCTCTAACAGTCTGCAAAAAATAATAAGCCGGATCCAATTCGAAGATTAAGGAACAACGCAATCTGCAACATTAACTGAATTAGATAATTTTAGCTCAGCTTATACCATCCGTTATACATTAAGCGTACATGCATAAACGTATTGTGCACATGCGTACACGCATATTCGTGACCGTAAATGTGCGCCAACACGACGCATGCGCAGAAAGTTTGTAGCTTTGAGGCCCGGATTATAGATCATTTTGGATTATGGGTGTCCGAATTAACGACATTTGACTGTATATATATAGTATATACACACAACACACCACAACAAAAAAAAAAAAAAAAAAACCCTAAAACAAATTATACGTTCAACCAATTATTGGTTTATTGTAGCAAAATCCTCATCATGGCTCCAGAAAATGTAGTCCATATCCTCGAAGTCTTCCAGAACCAAGCCTTGGGCATAATTACTGGGGCAGTGAGATCTACTCCCATTCTTTCAATGTAGCTTTTAACCGGTTTAGAAACTGTTCATGATTTTAACAATAGAAAAGCGATCCTATTATACCAGAAGCTGGTACATTTGTACGACCACACTTTTTGAAAGAATTCTAATAATGAAATTTTTAGAAATCTTAAAACTAAAATTGGCTTTATACAAGCTGCTTAGAGAAAATCTGATGCTTTGGAACTGAATGGAGATTATCTAATTTTACCTCTCCATGTTGTTCCTTGAAGTTTTTGAATTTGAATATAAATCTTGATCTTATTCAAACAATTGTTAAAAAAGAAAATGAGCAATTCAAAATTAAGATCTATTGCAATGGAAACTATTTGGGCTTGCTATCCTCAAAATAAGTGGTTGTGTGTGTACGCTGACGCCTCTATGTTAGAGAGAGCGTGCAGTGC